AAAAAGGCACCAGTGTTCGTGACCTAAGAGTCCATTTCTCACAGTAAGCCGTCCCTCTCCTCCACGCAGGCCCTTCAGTGTGATAATGCACTGTGAAGAGCCACCAGTCACATCAATATGGCTCTGAAAGATGCATGTGCTGCTGCAGCACTGGAAAAGCAAGCAGTGAAAGACACTGGAGACAGTGTCACTGACAAGAAAGGCAGAGCAATAACATTTTTTATTATTATTAATATTTCACATAATGCAAAAGCAGCATTTAAGCTGTTATGATTTATACCGACTAGAGCGTAAAGTTCCTTGGAATGAAAAATCTAGTATTTCCTGAAGTATCATTAGAAAATGTGTGATAACATTTAGACTAGTGCTATTTTTATGAGCTACAAGAGTTTCTTTTATAAAATTTGAAAGAGCATCCATCCATCATTTGGCCACTCATCCTGGTCAGGATCATCCTGGGGCCAGGAGTTTATCCCATGCAGCACAGGGAACAAGGCTGGGGCAAGGATGGCACTCCATCACAGGGTACATGTACAATTATATCCTACGGGCAATACAGAGTTTCCCTAACTGCATGCTTTTAGACTGCAGGAAGAAAGCTTATTGCCTGGGGGAAACCTGCAGAACCCAGGGAGAACGTGCAGACAGACTGGCCTACCCCCACGTCTTTGGAAACCAGAGTACCAGCAGGAAACCCTGGGCGGCGGGCTGAGAACATGCAAGCTCCACACTCACACATACTTAGACCTGGAGGTGTAAGGTGACAGTGCAGCCACCATGAGAAAACATAAATCTGAGATTAAATACAGCTTTCCATCTATCTTCCATAACTGTTAGTACAATATAACAAAAACAAGGTCGGAGGTACCCTGGACAGGATGCCACTGTCTGGTAAGCTTTTAATAAAAAAAATACACTAGTTTTATGATGACATTATGCTGTAGTTCAAAGTCCAAACTATGAAAGATGGCAGTCCCACTTTTTTATTTCATGATGCATTCAATGTTTTATTGGCATCTTTTTAAAATCTGCTTTATTAATTTTAGGACCATATTAATATTCATTGCACCTCATGCTATATGCTTTACACTAAAATATATAAGTAATTTGCTAATTATTTTAACACCCTGAGAAGCACTGCACTAGAACACCGCCATTAGTATTCACATTCCATTATGTGAAGAGCATGGTTCCTGCTGCAAGAAATATATTTAAGCTGAACGTTCCTTTTCTGCTAAGTCGTTTAAACTGCACTGACAGAAGGCCAGCTCATTCTTGGACACAATGCCATGGGGTCCCTCCAACCACACTAAATTACATTCGCCCCTCAACACCGACCACCACAGGTGTCAGGGACAATCATCACTGCTGCTGCTCATTGCAAAAAAGAGAGCATACTGTACTAAAACACCAAAAACGCATCCCAGGACAGCACCAGGGCAAACTGAAGCAAACAAAATCTATGGGAAGGTCATTGTCTAGCGGGCTGCTGATGTATCGAAAAAGCAAAATAAATCAGTTTTGACAAAGGCTGCCTTGATATCTACTAGAGAAGTAACAAAATATGCCTGGTACTTTTTGACAGAAAAGTCTATATTCTGTAACTAAAACCTATACCCTTATTCTCAAAAAATCACTTGTTTTTCACCTTCACATATCTGATTTTATCTCTATTAAAAACACGCTACACTAGATTTGAATCGAAATCTGGTTCCAACTAAAATACCATAAAGAGAAGTCACACAATATATAGCTGAATATATTAAAGAAAACACACACACGCACACACACACACAAAAATACACACAGGCACACACATACACATACATAGTCCAAGGGGAAATGTTAAGCAAATCCTCTTGAAACACACTTTGTATAATTACACACTAATACGCTTTCTTCTAATCAGTTTATTTTCATTGCATATGAAAACAAAAGTGAGAAGAGGAAAGACACTTCAGGCTGCTAAAGGTCACATTTCCTAATGCAGGAAAGACTCGTTGCCAAATAAGACTTCCAGCAACAAAGCAAAATTCAGAACTTTTGAATGGCCGGGGAAAGAGATTGTGGACACAGTTACTGCTGGAGTCTGAAACAAAACAATGTATTCTTAAGCAAGATCTGAGTTGTATAAATTTAAATATGACAAACATTTTAATAGCAAGGCATGTCTCTCTATGGGCATTCTTTTTGGTAAAGCTCATGTTTCCTTCACAGTTCTGAAGGCTGAAGTAGGAAGATGAAAGAATTCAATTCATTTCATAACACACCCACAAAAGATGCACAAAATCTTAAAGTGCTGCCCCCGTAAAAGAAACGCAATATTCGACATAGAAGTCACAGAACCTACTTATTAAATGCATCAATCATAACCTGGATTGGAAGTTTAACTTCACTAAAAAGGCAGGAATATTACTATGCCTCAGTAGTGCTCATTTAAATTCCATATTTGAATACAATGTTATCTTGATGCTTTGTTATCCCATTCACTACTGTATGTATCACCACTTATCTAAATGTGTATCGGCTATGTAGCATTCTGTAACATTGAAATCCAGTCAATCATGCCCTTTGAAGGAAGCATAGACTGCATATTTCCAATGTCCTGGCATTCAAGAAGTCCACTTCATAGTTTTATTTCATTGAAAAGTAACCATATAATTTTTGTAAATGAATAATTTCTTGACAGCCCCGAAGGTGATGAACAGAAATTTTGAGAACCTAACATAAATTTACGCTCAATTTAACCACTTCATCACACAGAGTAAAAGGAGTGGCCAACCCAAAATTTGCATCTTACCAGAAGACACAAAACAGGAAAATTCTATTACTTATGAATATGTCATAATTACAATCATTAGTCATGATTCTGCAATACCTTGAAACTCTTACCACACATATTTGACACAGATTTCTGTATACCTGTTACTATAATGCATTTAAATCAGCTTAACACTGAATAGTTTGCAGAAAACCTCAAAGTTCTTTATTATTCCATATTATTCCATATTATACATATCTGATTGAACTATGAACAGTGGTTAAACTATTATGCAACTGAGGATCAGGATGTGGCTTTATAGGCTGCAGTTTAAGTGTAGTTGCTACAATATCATAGATGATAAAGACACTGCAAACCCCCTCTATATATCAAAATATTCAGGATATATTTTGTCAGCATCACTTCACAAATTTCACAAATAAGCATATAGAAATATTACCCTTATTGTTACTGCAATTAATTTAAAAAATCATGCACAAACATGTGTTTTACCTTAGATATATTTTATCGTTATAAAATTTATCGTTATGGTGGAAAAGAAGGGATTAATGATTAAGTAAATGCATTACATAACGTATATGCATTGCATATGAAAAAGAGTAATTTTGAAAAGGAACACCACCCCCCCCCCCCCCGCTACCCAGAATACTGAATATTTTGTTAATAGAGCAGTTTATGTACCATGTCCAAGTGCACAATTGCATGACTGTGTAAATATTTCACATTTGTAAAAATATATGGCTACATATCATGCAGGTTCAAATTTGGCTATGTGGGTCCATGTTCATCTAGATTTACGCTAATTTATACCTGTTAGTATATTGTCACGTCCCTACCCGCTTCACCTGTTCGACCCTCCTGTTTCCCCTGGGGCGTGGCCTCAAACAAGCCCCTCCCAAAACTTGTGAACCTTATCTCTCATTCCAGCCTCCATGTTTATTGCTCCCAGCTATGTGTTGTTAGCTTATTAGTGATAGTATTTAAGTTCCTTGTAGCTGTGTAGTCCTTAGTTCTGTCATTGTTTTGCTGTTCTCGGTTCTGCTTGTGTCTAAACTGCTCAATAAACACCTCCAACTACGGGGTTTCCCAGAATCGGCCTGCATTCTGGGTCATGTTGCTCCCCGCTGTCGTGTGAGTATATACCTGTTTCCAAGGCAGCCATGGTGCATGCTTACAACCTGTAGCCCTAACTACAGGGGCAGCTGTTAAAACTGAATATATGATATAAGCCGGTGGTTCGCGACCCAATTTTTTACTATGCCAGCTCAGTCACTACCGTATATCAAATATAAGGTTAAATTAACACTATGATCAAGCACGCAGTGAACTCTGCCATGGCAATCAATGCCTATCATACAAATCTGATTTGATGTGCCAGTGAATTTTAAATTAAGCATCCCTGGATTGGTTGAGTGTTCACTAGTTTTGCACTTAGCATCTACAGAACCAAAACCTGTTTATATAGGCTAATTCTAGGATTGTGGCTGGGAAATCTGATCGTGGATCAGCACATGAGCTTGCTGGTTCTAAAATGCTTACATTTCCAAACCTGCCTCACAACCCTTTCAGAACTTGCTGTGACCCAAATTTGGGTTGTGACCCATGGGATGAGAATCACTCATATAAGGTATGCATGAGCTTCTTGAAATAATGTGGCAGGTATACACTATTTTAAGATGATATCAACACATATTGTAGAAATTGCATGTCATCCCTAATGTGCATATTTAAATAAAATGCAGTGAATCACAAATAACACCAGTGCAATGCCAGACCACACTAAACCCTGTCATATTAATGAATACCCTGTCATACTAATGAATACATCACAACATAGTTATTAAGTCTTAAGAAGCATGTTTTTCCACATCAATATGCATTACAAATTTTGTCAGATTCTAGGAACAGATTTTACTTTACTGCTACCCGAAGGGACACAATTAAGGACGAAAATGTAATAAGTTAATATAGTTCATAACCTGAAAAGAACACACAGCCAAAACATAATATATTGATACGTAAAGTATATACTAAAAGCACTTTTTCACTTCTTTAGTCCTGGAAATACTTCTAACTCTGCAGCGACTTTACAATTAGGAAAGTGAAAATTCTGCATAAATTCAGCATGCTTTAATAATGTTTTTATTTTGCGATCAGCAGCTCCAGAAATGCCACCTGTCACTTTGCGTACTGAGCCCGGATACGGCGCATTACTCACAGCGATACGGTCCGGTTTGGAAGGAAGCTCGGCTGCAGGGTCTCCAGCAGCTCCACGCCGTTGCACGCCACCTTGACACGGACGTGCTGCCAAGTCAGCTCTTTAGATCTCTCCGACGTGCAGCGACAACTGTCAATGATGAGGTCCGGACAGCTCCTGTTCGCTAAAAGCATCCTCCACAAGCCGGCCACGCACAGCAAAACTGGCAGCCTCATCATGAAACGACTTTTGCCTAAGTGATGCCTTCCCAACACGAAAAACAGGAAAATACCATCTCACATGAATGTTACGTAGGTTAACAAAGGTACTCTCCTCAGGTGAAGTAAGATGTGGACAGGGACCTCCCAGCCAGTTAACTCTGTCGTCGGACTTTTATCTTATCGTACTTTTAGTAGCACCATGTACTTAATATTAAACGACAAAAATAAATATGTATATCAACGCAAGGTATCAAACGCGTACACTCTCCAAAGCATTCTGTCGCTATCTCTATGCTTTAAATAGTTTTCAAACGGCAAAACACTTTTGTTCTCCAGTGTCTCTAAATATACTAATTCAAAGAGTCCTCTCAGTCGTTTTTGTTTCTTCGCACTTCTCAGAGGAGAGAAGTGTATTTTCTCTGTTATCTGTAACCAAGAGCTGACTATGTACAGATAGGAATGCAACAGGTTACGCGTGACACGGCGCGTGTACCAAAGCGCACTCAAGTTCAAGCAGTGGCAGGTCGAGCAGATGCGGCTTTCTCCGCCACGCCCCTCCAAGCGCGCTGCTCATTTTGATTGGTTTAAATCTACCCACGTGTCTTGTGAATTGATTGTCGTAAAATTGGGCTGATGAGCCAAATCGGACGTACGTGGTATTTTTAAACATCTGTCTATTGGTGTGTAAATTGTAAGGGGAAGTTATATGTGTAATTCACTATCCTTAGTATAGTTTATACTATAAGCAATTATTTGACGTTTGCCACGGTCAATTCACGCCGAAATAAATTCAGTTGATTTTTAGAATTAGTTTAGAATGCTACTGTTACTCATAGACTCCAGGCAAAGTCACATTTTTTTTCCAGGTTTGCATTATGTAACACTGAAAACGATATGAAAATGTCTGGATAATGTGCACAAGGTACGGAATAGTGTACGGGCAATTCCAGCGTTATATGGATTTGACATTTTCAAGAATCAATAATAAACAAAATGCCTCAGAGCATGGACGAGCTTAATATCAATAAGTCTATTTGCATGTCTTTTATGTAACCTCTTGGGATGAATATAGACAAATCCTCAGAAGTCATGCATTATTTTACATGTTAGGAATACACAGCATTTTAACAACGTTGATGTGTGACATGAAATGAACCTTTGTATGGAATTACGCAAAAAAGAAAAAATGTAAATTTGGGCGAAATGGGACAACAAATGGTCTTTTAGATAAATTTATAGAATGATTTAGACTAGCTATTGATGGGTATTGATTGTTAATTGCATTACAAACTAATTAAAGCATATTAATAAGCATGATATTGATAAAAACTCATTTACCTCTGACACAGAATCAGAATATTGCTTTTTATATAAAGTGCTGTAAGAGTCATGGCAGCAATACTGTATTTGGTGTGAAGTGTTCCTTTTTGGTAGAAACCATTGTCAAATGTGGAAATGAATTTGATGTTGATTTCACTACTGAGGCTGGCCTTCTGTTGAGCTATTATGCTGCTTGATCAAGGCTTAAACAAATATTATTATTGGCAATTTTCTGAAACAAGTGTCTTTAACTTGTAGTGATCTCATGGTTAGCCTAAAAAGTTATAAAGTGGCAAATAATTTTCTTGACATTCCCGGCCTAATCACCAGCATACGGAATGTTTCCGCGCAAGGTGCCAGCATTTTTTCTTTTTTTCCCCTGCTTTTTTGTGTCACCCTGGATTTATAAATGTACTCCTGCCATTAGCCTCTAATTTATTTTATATTCATAAACATTTTAAAGATTACAGAGCATATAACTCTTTAAATGAATAACTCCTGAAACGTACCTTTTTTATGTCATTTTCTGCACATTTTATTAGCATCATTATATTGGAGCAACACAGTGACTCATTGGGGAAAACTGTTGCCTCAAATTCCAGGTTTGAAAGTGGATTAAAATGCATGCAATTAAAGATCTAAAGCAGTCAGAGAATAAAACATACCATATACACGAGGCTGCTCAGGTTGAGGTTTTCCAAAATGAGGTGTTAACGCTCTTGTTTTATATAATGTACTTTACCTGGGGTGGGAACTAAGGGGGGGTTATGCCGTTATAGCAAAGCCAGCCGTCTGCAGACTTTGCCTTATTGAACTTAGACCAGATGAGCCTAATTGGATAGATACTATCAGGGGGAAATACGGCCAGCTGGGAGAAAAAAGAGAGATACTGTAATATGACTCAAAGCATTTGTAAGGCAATCAAATATGAGCACTTGGACACATATATGTATGTACAGGTGTACTGTACATATGTATGATATTTTCTGTGCATGTTTAAGACAAAGACAGGCCATGTGGTTGTAACAGCAGCTTCAGCCGCACAAGTAATGGCAGCAGGCAGCTCTGGAAAAAGGCCCAGGCTCCCTTTTCACCGTGCTTCCCATGTTGAATTCCATTCTTATTAACTGCTCCGTCTCAGAAGGGAGCTGGAGCACAAAAGAGAATTTAACGCTGCTTCTCGACCTGCCAAATATGCAGTGTTTATCATTCGTAACTGTTACAGGCAAACATGGCAAACACAGGACCATATGGCCAAACACATCTTTTCATTTTTCTTTAAGAAGAGCTAAACAAACATACCCAGACCCCATGTTTTCATACATGTAATCTTTTTTTTTTAGGGGGTTTACACAGATGTACAGTACTTAACATTTATTTTAAAAAAAAGGGGGTTATCGTTCTGGGAACCAGCTCCTTAGTCACTTAAGAAATAAGCTTGGTTAGTTGACTTCATCATCAGAAACGATAAATCTTCAATTAGGCCAGAGACAGGGATGTTTTTGGATTCTGGCTGTGGAGGCTGACTTGGCTACTTACATCACCCTAATGGAAAACAGAGCTCTCGCAGACTCCATATTTAGTCATTTTTTTAGTGGCAAAGAACCAGATTTTCACATTTAGACATAGTGAGATGCAATAAAACATGTTTAACATGGTTTAATTTTAGTAGCAACTCCTGCAACTGCCATTTACACAGATAACTGCCCTACATAACACCCTTTTTTTACATACCACTTCTAGAATATGCATTTGAAATAAACACACATGTATGTTTAAAATAAACTGGTTTGTTGTATTTATGCACAAACAAATGCATTGTGAAAAGCAGTTATTTGTCTAAAAATTTTTGTGTATGATGCATGTATGATACAAACTCTTCTGTAAGTCTCTCCAGTCACTTGCATGTCAGCCCCATGCTCATATACTGTAATGTGCATAACAGCACAATTCTTTCATAATACAGATTAATATACCATAGCTGCAGGGAGACCATTATTTCTGAAAAATATTTATATGTGTGCACTCAGAAGGGCAGAGAGCAACAGTTCCTTTGAGCTTTTCCCTTTTTTAAAGCCGATAAATAAATTACCACTGAGGTCTGCACCCTGAGGTCTGCACCCTCATTATGATGTATCAGCAGTAACTAGTGTCTCAATACTTCTTTCTCCCACTGATTCCTTTCCCATTTGCATCCCTATATACAGTCTGTAAAATACAGAAAACTTTTTATTGCATAAAAATTGCATAATTAAAGACTGTTATTCCCACAGTTTAAACAGATTTTTCCTTTATTTACTTATGCTATATTCTACATCTCAAAGAATGGGCTGTCAGTACAGGCTTACAGTGCTAGACTATACAGTATAAAACATATTCCAATAAATAATATTTAAAGCTCTACAGACTACAGTTTCATCTCTAAGCCAGCAATATGGACTTTAAAGACAAAATAGAAACATGGAATCTTTGACCAACTGTGTGTCTCATTGAGTCCAAACCTGATTTCTGTGGTGTGAAATGGTTTAATTTGAAGTAAAAAAGAAGCTGTTCATTGCCATGCCATCTCCTTAATCCATGCTGGTTAGTGCCAAAGGGAGGTAAATGGGTACTGCTTTTAAAGTCTATGGTTTTACTTGGCCTGAAATTGAACCCGCAGCTTTCTGGTGTCAGGGTGGACCCTTTAACCACAAGGCCACTGAACTACAGCTTATTGGAACATAATGTCTTAGGAAGGGTTTGCATTAGATACAAAATAGCCATCATAGCCAAAAAATAAATAAATAACTGTATGGTAAAGGCCCTATTTTGGAAAAATTTTGTTACTGACTTTGGAACCCTTTGCTGGTCAGGTTGGTTCTTGTTTTCTAATTTGTGCTGAGCTGATTTCTGAACTAAAATGCATGACCGTTTTTAAAATATCTTTTTTTGTGTGCAGAGCATCATCCAGAGGCTGACCATAGTGGTTTCAGGTGGGTCTGGCATGAAGTAACACCAGGAGCTCTGCTACATAAATACCACGTTTCAGAATAACTGGAGAGGCTTGAGCTGAGAGTGTCACTGATAAGGCCGAGCACTGGAGAGGAGGGAATGAGGCGGCAAGTGCCAAGAGGAGCCTGAGTGTTTCTGTTTAACACGTCCATAGGAGGAGAGCTGGGTGCCAGGACTGACACTGGAGAGGGGAAGCATGACAGACAGAGGATACAAGGTTCCACGGGGGCCACTGAAATCACTGGAAGATAGTTGTATTAGTGGAATTAACACTTATTCAAGCAGGTACAAATTTGTCATGTTATACTTTGTCACACACAGGAACACAGTCATTGTATTGATGATTGTATCATCCCCAGAAATATTATTGCAATGAAAACCTAATAGTCCTTTCTGGTAATGGTCCATACAGTTACTGATGTTAGAAGAGTAATTGCTCAGTAAGGAATCATTTAGACCTGTAATGCTGCGATGTTCACATTAAGTAGGATTGCAGTTTGGCCCTTAACAGTCATCTTGTGATCCACACTCTGTTAGGGCCCTATATTGAAACACAGAAGCTTGTTTGCCATCAGTCAGCATCTGGAAATCCACTGATTGACATTTCAAACTCTGACCATGTTATATACTGTTAAGGCCATGTCATTATTAGAATTTTAAACCAGCTAAACATAAGAAGTAATTATTAACCAACACATACTTCTTATAGAGTTTAAAAGATACCCATAATGGAGACCCATCAGTGCAAATCTTTCATATGATATATGTATTTATATGTTTCTTCAAAAAAGATTAACCCACCATTCAATTTATCATTATACATCTAGACCAGGGGTGCCCAACTCCAGTCCTGGAGGGCTAGAGCCGCCCTGCACATTTTTGGGTTTCCCCTCATTTAACACACCTGATTCAACTCCTTGTGCTAATTACCACACAGCTCTTGAGCTGAATCATTTATGGTGGAACAGGGAAAGAACTAAGCTACACAGGGCTCCGGCCCCCCAGGACTGGAGTTGGGCACCCCTGCTCTAGGTCATAATGACTTATGCTGAAAAACTGCTTTTCCATATTATTCATTCTATTCATATATCTTGGGGAATATTTATGTTTCATTGCATTATTTAGGATTTATGGGAAATTATATTAGCTGTATCATTATTGCTATTATAACAGCATTCTTTCCTTACTAACCTGACATGT